TTTGGTGAAACTTTAGTCCTCCTTTAACTTAAAATTCTTCCACTTGCACTAAATGTTTGTTCAGATGAGACGGTTGAGACAGGAACAACAAAACATCCAAGGCAAGTCTTGATAATACCGAAAAATACATTTTCTGGCTCCCAATAGTCTAAGATCAATGTTGGCTCTCTGTTGTGGATCTACTGGTCATTTCAGGGGTTGCCAAATATTGTTGAAACTCATTACTCTGCGACTGCATGGAAGACAATACATTAGTTGTTGTTGTTGGTGGGCTTCTGAAAAGGAGGTTGTGCTTCGGATTCGGTCCTCTTCGGCCTATTCAGTGCACCCCAAGAGTAGAAGTCTTCATTTGTTTCTTCTGATGCAGCTTCCCTGGATGTTTTGCCTCTTTGCGGGTTCCCATACCTGTTTTCATATTGGAAATATACTTCGAAAAATCTATTTTTTACCTCTCCTATTTGATTGGCATATCTTCGGTTTGTAAATTTTCACATAAATTGTCAAAACCATTTTCTAAACCTGCTAATTTAATTATAGGATCAAATATGCACCTAAACATAAAGAAAGGAATGGGTTCCCAATATTTTAAAAAAAAATTTGCATTGTCTTTATTGGTGCATTTAAAATTTCATTGTCTTTGTTTTTTATAAATAACTCTGAAATTTTTATATTGTATGTATTACCAATAGACTAGTAGGAAAATACACACCAGAAAGTTGTAAAGTGGATTGGTAAAAAATTTTAAGAAAAGAATGAAATACTTTAGCTATTTGCCAATCATTTTCTACCAAATAGAGGACCTCTATTATTTGCTACAAAATAACTATTATATTAGCATAAGGTAAACATGAATCAAGCATTAAATGTACTATTCCATCTAACAGTCATGTCTAATGCAAAGTTCTAGAGACATATTTGATTTTATACAAGCTCTTGAAATTCAGCATTTCTTTTATTACTACTAGTAATCCAAGCTAAACAATCCTAATTCTATTAATATTTTCTTAATTATTTTCATACCATTTTCACAATTAAATTAATAAAGGCATGCACAACGTTTGGAAAAAACTTCAAATTGTTATATAAAGGATAATTACTTTGAAATAATCTATAGCTTTACTATTAGAACTTGCATTATCTAAAGTTAACTTATCACTTACTAACAATATCATAATCTTCTAAAACTTCAAATATTTTATTATAATTTGTTCACCACTATGATCAAAATCCATTAATCTAATCCTAATAAAGATTTATTAATTTACTTCATTATCAAAAATATGACTAGTCACACAAATATAATCTTGTTTAGCTCTACCACTCCAAATATCGACAGTTAGAGTCACTCTAACATGACATATGTATTTTATTTTTTAATTCTAATTTCATTTTTCTAACAATTTTATTAAATCATTTCTAGTTGCAGTTTTAGAATAACTTTAAATCTTGAAAAAATGAATTTTGAACAAATCTTCAAAATATTTATCTTCAGCCATATTATAGGTTGATCGTTGAACAATATATAACTAACTGTTCCCTATATACATCAGAATTATAATGCTAAGTAGTACCCAATTAGTTATTTGACTTTGATTGCTTTCTCTATTTCCAGGTGATTATATGTTTATTAGCATGCCTTTTTAAAGTATAGTACCATTACCTGAATCAGCTTTAAATATTTCACAGTATTTGCATCTCGCTTTCTTAACTTGAACGCCATTTTCTATCTTAAAACTTGTTGAAATGCGCCCAAACGTCTGATGTGTGTCTGTCTTCGGTTTCGACGGCAATTGATGATCCGCCTCAGCTTGAGATGAAGTTGGAACGGCACGTGATTACGAGGACTTCTAAACCACTAGAAGCTGTTGGAATCGGGGGCATATTTTGAGGGGTATCGGATTCTGAGAATGGAAAAGCGGACTATTTGAATCTCCTCTTGCATTTTTGTTAGTAAAATCAGGGGACTAGGACTAGGATAGTAATTTCCTTCATCATTGTAATTGATGCGAGAGAATATCTATCCATTGTATTGAAAAAAAAAATTGATGTAGAAGAAATAAAATTAAGAAAGAGAATGGATATGAAATTGGATTTGGAATTTGGAAAATTGGAAATATGAATTAAAAATTGCAAAAACTAATAAAAATTAAAATACGAGCAAATTGATAACAAAGAGATTAGAGAATAAATGAATAATTGAGAGATTAGAGATTAGAGAATATGAGAGAATTAGAGAATTTGTTGTGAGAAAATGTGAGAGTTTAGGGCCAATTTATAGAAAAAAATGGGAAAGAAAAATGACCAAAAAGACCCCTCCAATGGCTATAAAACGGCTATATTTCAAGGGTAAAGGGGTAATTTGAAAAAACAAATTAAATTTTTTTTTTTTTTTTTTTTTCGGCCAACCCTCGGATTGGCAACAGCCAACCCGACCCATTTGTTCCACCTCTAAATGAAAGAGGTAGTGATAATTATGTTGCCATATAAGTATCCAAGAAAATCTATCAATGTTCCTTTTTCTCAAGAAAATGCCAAAACAAATTACAATATGACAAATTCAAATGGCCAGGGGAGGTTATCAAAATCAACTTTAAAAATCCTCTTTGACTATATTATAGTATTAATCAAACACTCAGAAAATATAATTTTTTTTTTCATTGGAAACTATAAATTTGTTTTTGTAGTATTAATTACCACCTTTTACACATGAAATTTTGAATTTAAATATATAAGAAAAAAATATTTAATTTTCAATTACAGTTATATAATTGTATAGTTTTAGTTCCCATAGAATTTAAGTTCAGATGCTAATTTCAAATCATGTGTCCATTCCTAATCATTAAGTCCAATTTTATTACCTTTAATTATACGTAGGTCCAATTATGTTATTTAATCATATTTATACAATAAAACCTTTCTTAGCGATATTCTATGAAATAAACTCTATATATTCAAAAAATTTTAGTCTCAATTTGGATAGTTATAAATAAGATAAACTCCTATTATAAGTTAAAATGTTTCTAATTCCCATCTTAAAAAAAGTTGTCTCTACATAGTAATAATTATTTGTATATTGCAAAAAACAAAAAATATATGCTATATTACATTAAAGGTTTCAAATAAAATAAAATATTTATCTAAAGTTGTTTGGACAATATTTATGCTTTAAAGTTGTTTGGACATCTTTTAACTTGTGAGTACATAATAACTCGCTAGCATGAAACTTTCTTGTTACAGCCAAAATATTGCTAACTTCAAGTATGTTTAGAGTTTCTTGGCGTGAAACTTTTTGTATTTCATATTATCATCCTTAGGACTATTTCCTTTCTCTTACTGTCTAATTGTAGCAATGATTTCTTCTTAGTTAAAGCATACATGACTTTTACTCATTTGAATGATTAAGGAAACATTAATATCCTTCGATTAGTGTAGTGAAGTTGTCCAATCTCATCACTCAATTTTGTAATGACTCTTCGATTCTCCTCATCAACTTCATTTGTAACTTGCAATCATCACGACATCGGGATCATATTTTGCAGTGCTTAAACATTGGCAATTGTATGGCTTCATATCAATCGACCATACAACAACTGCATTTATAATTCCATCAAGGACACTTATCTTGCTTATTCCAATACTGATCTTCTATCTATTTGAAAATAGACAATTGAAGTTTGAATTGAAATCCTAATACTATACTACTAAAACATGAATTATAAAATAAGAAATCAAAATAATAATTTTTGTAACTAACCTCTATTAAGTTATAACCTCCTCATATAATAAAATTATTTGATCCCACTATTATGACTATAGAGCATTTTACCTGTATATGTAATTTGACCATATATTAACTATTAAGCTCATGAATACATGATTACTTATAATTGCTCCAAAGTCCAAAATTAGAATGTGACACTACATAAGCCAAAAATAAAAATGTAAAAATATGAAAATAATATCATATACTTACCAGTCAATTTACACTAACCAAGATCTAATTAATATATGGGGCTTACCATAATGTGATGGAAAATTCATTTTGACCATAAAATAATTAATTAGAGGGCAAAGTTTTACCTTATTCAAATAATGATTGAAAAAAATAAATTTAGATTTCTATAATTCATTGAAATTACTCTCCATCATCCATAATAAAAAAAATCAAATGTAATATTAGAAATGATTTTCTCATTAATTATTAATTAAAAAAAAATGTTAATCCTTAATTCATTTATAATTCAATGAAGCAATCTACAAATAATTTTTCATGAAATTACAAAGATAAGTTGAATGTAAACATAAATTTTAAAATATACGGCCCACTTAAAAAAAATTGTAGGCCTGCCCAACCTACGTGCTAGGCCCATAGCACGGCACGCTATATAGCAGAATTTTACGGGCCGATATGATAAGATACGAATTTCTGTAGGCCTTTGACACGACATAACCCACAACATGACAGACCTTAAATTTTTAGGTGCAGTACAACATAACACAGTTCACCGCCAGCTCTAGTTAAAGGAAAAAAGTGTGTCATCAATTTCTAATTAGTTAAAATTATTCAACTAAGATAATTTTATATAATAATCCATTTGTACAGTATACTTGAACTTTGATTATTATATTTATATCTCCGACTGTAAGATATTCCCAATTAAGCATAATCATTATTGCCGACACAAACAATAGACAAGTGACCTATGTGTGATTATTGTATTTGAGCAGTAATTGGAGTATTCATCTAAAAGTATTACATATCCTTTAAGAGGACCATTTTATTAATTACATAATAATCTTATCCACTCATGCACCTAAATTTTTTGTGGACCAACAATTCTACAACCAAAGAACAAGTAAACTTGGAGGGAAGGTGGCAAGAAAGTCGATAGAAGACCTATGAGCAGAAAAAAGCTACCAAGTCAATAGAAGACTTACATATGAGCAGAAAGAAACTACCATCATAAAGCACTTCTTTTACATCTTAAGATCAAGAATCCCTTGCTCTCTCTCCAACCATTTTTCCACTCATAATCCCATAGTTTTCCTCTATGGCTTCATCTTCATCTTCCTCTTCCTCTAGTCCAAAAGAAAAATATGATGTCTTCCTTAGTTTCAGAGGTGAGGATACTCGTAGAACAATCACTAGCCATCTCTATGCTGTTTTGTGCAATAAAAAAATACAAACGTTTATCGATGATGAAGGCCTCAATAGAGGAGATGAAATTTCACCAGTGCTGTTAACAGCAATTGAAGAATCAATGATTTCAGTGATCATTCTCTCATAAAACTATGCTTCTTCTCGATGGTGCTTGGAAGAACTTGTGAACATTCTTGATTGCAAGCGAATGAATAACCAGAAGGTTATACCAATTTTCTTTCAGGTAGATCCATCGGATGTAAGGAAGCAAACTGGAAACTTTAAGAATGCCTTCGTTAAGCATGAACGTATGAAAGAGATGAAAGAGAAGGTGCAAAGGTGGAGAGTTGCTTTGACTGAAGTAGGCAATCTATCTGGATGGGATTCATCAAAAACCAAGTAAGTTTACCCTTTGCAACATCCCTTTAGAAATATACCTGTAGTTTCTTTTCTCTTAAAATTCAGCTAGAATGCGCCAATTATCTTTTCAGGCACAAAAAAAAAAAAAAAAAAAAAAAAAATTGAAGACCGAGTAAAACCAGCCTGTTTGAGTCTTAAGTTGGAAAAACAAGCAATTAATAAATTTATAAAGGAAAAGATTCACTTTTACTAATGCTTTAGAAATGATAACAAAAAATCCTACTTGAGTTCACTTTTAATTTACCTCACTGTTACTAATTTTATTTTTTTTATTTTTTTTTTTGTTATCTTGGATGACATCATTGATTGATGTTGTGCTTAGCGTATATATGGTTGCGAAACTGTGCATAATTTTGAATGCTTCTTGTGAAACGTATTTTTGTTATCAACAATAATAAAGAGAAGTAGAAGTGGTTACATTATATAAAATCATATCTAATTTTTGTTTTATAGTGTTCTATTTCACTTTACCTTATCATTTGGCAGGTCTGACGTAGAACTTGTGGAGAACATGTCAAAGATATATCAAAGAAATTGAAAGTAAACCAACATATGTGATTTTGAAGGTTCATTTGGATTAGAGTCACGTGTTCAGTAGTGAAATCATATATGCATTGGTTGTCCGAGCCTCGAAATTGGGCTTTGGGTATGGGTGGTATAGGTAAAACCACACTTGCTGAATCTCTTTACAAGCAAGTTTCAAGTAAATTTGAAGGTTCTTCCTTCGCTGCAAATGTTAGGGAAAGATCAAAACGAGAAAGTGAACTTAGTGTACGGGATCAAGTTCTATCTGAAATATTAGAAGAAAATATAAAAATAGGCACTAGTGATATACCCTTCCATATTCAAAGTAGACTCCAACGCAAAAAAGTTTTACTTGTTCTTGATGATGTGAGTAATCAAAGTCAATTGGAGATTTTAATTGGAAAGAATGATCGATATGGTCCAGGAAGTAGAATCATTATAACATCTCGAGATAAACAAGTGTTAGATAATTTTGTATCTGATGGTTATACATATGAAGTTGAGAAACTGAATGACCAAGAAGCTCTTGATCTGTTTTGTCATTATGCCTTCAAACAAAATAATCGCTTGGGAGATCTTATGGTACTGGCAGTGAGGGTAGTAGAATATGCACAAGGCAATCCCTTGGCTCTTAAACTGTTAGGCTCCTCTCTTTATCGGAAAAGCAAGCGAGATTGGCAAAGTGCTCTGAACAAATTAGGAAGGATTCCTAATCTTGAAATTCATAAGGTGCTTAAAATAAGCTACGATGCTCTAGATCACGAAAATCAGAATATATTTCTTGATGTTGCATTTTTCTTTAAAGGGAATGATCGTGATCATATCACAAAAATACTTGATGACTGTTATTTTTCAATGCATTCTGGGTTGACTGTTCTCATTGATAAGTCACTGATTACAATATCGTATGATAAAAAGCTACATATGCATGATTTACTCCAAGAAATGGCTTGGGATATTGTTCGACAAGAATCTCCTAAGGACCCAGGCAAGCGTAGCAGGTTATGCAGTCATGACGATGTCTACTATGTACTGAAAAATAATAAGGTAAGAACTTAATTGAATTGATTTTCTTTTTCTTATATAGTTTGCCATGATTTGCTGTATAAGCTAGCCTATATTATCTCATTCTTTTTATATAACTTTTTTAAGCTTTTGTGAATTTTATGTTAACCATTTCTTTGCTTTCTGTTAACAGGGGACCGATTCAATTGAAGGCATATACCTAGAAATGTCTAAAACAAGAGACATTCAATTCAGTTCCAAGGCCTTTGTAAATATGTCTAGACTTAGACTGCTTATATTCTGTAATTCTGAGCGTTATAAACAGTCTGGAGAGATCTCAGAGGTCCATCTTCCTTTAGGTCTAGATTATCTTCCTGATGTGTTGAGGTATCTCCGGTGGGATGGATATCCTTTGAAATCACTACCACAAAACTTTACCCCAGAGCACCTTGTTGTCCTTAAATTGCCTTATAGCAATATTGAGCAAGTCTGGCAAGAAACAGAGGTATAATTATTATTGTTATTATTGTGTGTGTATATATATATATTGTTGACTAGTACTAATGTAGTCTAGTAATTTTTCTTTTGCTACAGGTTTCTCCCAAATTGAAAATCATCGATCTTGATGGCTCCCAATTTCTGAATTCAATTCCAAACCTTGAAGACGCCAAAAGCTTTGAGGTTGTGACACTTTCAAATTGCAAAGGAATTAGGAATTTCCCACAGGTTTCACTGAGTATAACAGAACTAAATTTATCTGGGACCGCAATAGAAGAAATTTCAACAAGTATTTGTCAAATGAAATCTCTTCGTTTGCTTTATCTTTATCGTTGCTGGAACCTTCAGAGTTTCCCAGAAATCTTGGAGAGAATGGAATGCTTAGAAGGTCTTTACTTATCTGAAGCGACGGCAATAAAAGAGATACCATCTTCCATTGAAAATTTAAGCCGGCTTCGTGATTTGAGTTTGGTTCGTCTCAGAAATCTCGAGACTGTTCCAAGCAGTATTTGTAATTTGACAAATCTAGATGTAATTTATCTTGATGGTTGCCCAAAACTTGAAAAACTGCCGGACAACCTGGGGAATTTGAAAAAATTAGAGGCGCTTTTTGCAAAGGAAACTGCCATAAGCCAACTACCATCCTCTATTGGAGCTTTATGTTCCTTAATATTTTTAAATTTACCTTACAGCGGTCTGAAAGAAATCACCGATGATCTCTGCCGTTTAACTTCACTGGATTACTTAGATCTAAGCGGGAGCAAATTTGAGAGTCTACCAGCAAGTATCAACCAACTCTCTCGGCTGCGTTTTCTTTACTTAAGGGATTGCAATATGCTTCAATCACTACCCGAGCTTCCTTTACATCTTAGATCATTTCAAGCACCATACTGCAAGCAGCTCGTGTCATTCACTTTGCCTCGGGGTATAGAAGAGTTAAACGAAGCCCAATTTGAAATAGCATCTAAACGCTGCTATAAGATTCAAAGGTCATTCAGTGCGTTCATATTTACCCATAGTATGAAATTGAATCACAACCACAACCTTTTGGCAGAGTTACGATTTGGAATTGAGAGTCTGGCCATTGCGTCAATTAAACGTTGTTGTGAAGAGGTTAGTCTCTCTTTCTTTTTCTCTCTCTACCATTCTGTCTCATCATAAAGCATAAAATTATGCATTTTACTATGACAGGAGACTGAGGAGGTACTTGCTGTTAGCTTAAATTTACCCGGGAGTGAAATTCCGGACTGGTTTAGCCATCGTAGATCAGGGTCTTTCATTCAGATTAGGCTACCTCGTCGTAGTTCTAATGAAAGATTCACCGGATTTCTTCTATGTGCTGTTACTACATTTGAGGGAAGTTACAGTGGTGGTTTTGCTTATGTCAGAGTGACGTACTATTTTGATTCAAATTATGAGGAAGAGTTTTACTGCGAGTTGTCAATTGGCTATGTGAAGAAAGGGGCAATGGAGCCCGATCACATAGTACTGGGATATAGTCCTCGTATGGATGTTGATCTTTTAAAGGGTGATTATACAACTGCCTCATTTTGGTTCAGCCTAATACAGATAAAAGGGCAATCACTAAATCACAAGGTGAAATGTTGTGGGGTTTATCCACTCTATATACATCCCAAAGTCAGCAAATCCAGCAGTTCTATTGAGGAATTGGCTACCATCAATCAAGGTTCCGGTGAAATAGCTGTGGATGACTGCTACAACAATGATCATGATGACACAGATGGAAGTGGAAGTGACATGTCTGATGAGGAAATGGAACCAAGTCCTAATAAGAGAATTATCAGAGGAAGTGATTCAATTTTGCGCATCAGAGGTGGATTACTGCTCTCTTATTGTTGGACTTTGATGGTTTGCTTCTTTTGCGGACTTTGTGTTTTTCGACTGCTGGAGTCACTTGTGATTTTTCTATCATCTTAATGGTTAACAAACGGTATGTAAGTATATTAAGAATCTTTGGTCTATGAAGCTGTTATATTAATATCAATGTTTGACCTTTAAAATATTTTAATATTTTCTTCTTCTGTTGGACAATTATGCTCTTATAATCTCGTGTTCATTAACATGTTTCATTTTTCGAAAATTACATATGCTAAAGCTTGCATATGAATTTTACTTTGTATTGGTTTTTGCAAAATTTGGGTTTGTACATTGTATTTGTTAATGTTTGATTCTAAGTTGTGATTATAGTAGTTTAAGTGAATTGGCTTATGTTTGAATTGCAAAGTTGATTAGCTTTTTCTTTCATCTGAGGTTTTCCAGTTGGACACCATTGTTATGTTTTCCCAAAAAGCGAGGAAATTAAAAGGTTGTATTTTGTCAGGAAACTTTTGCTATATTGTTTAAATTGATCTTTTCATTTATTAGATTTTGAGTAGAAGAAAAAATTCTGCAGAAGAGCATTTCATTCATTGTCGTAAAATTACAATTCATTTTCTCTCAAGTATATTCAACACTTTTCAGCTAACATATCTATAATGAATCTGTAGTGATTTTACTCAACTAACCTCAACAAACTACATTTACTCAACTACCCTTAGNAATTCATGGATCCGCCACTGGTAATGCTAACTTAAATGGTAATAATCTAATTACAACAGAGTCCTACTTTATTTCTAATTCTTATTTATATTAGTAATCCTATTACAATTATGATAACTAGAAACCCATTTTGCATTATAATCTGTTTTCCTTTTTTTTTTTTTAGAGTGCGGAGAGATAGTATATATAATATAAGCAAGCGACTTATTATTTTCTCTACATTATCAATAAATTTTATGTGTTGACATCACGAGATGAAAGAGATCAGCTATGCCAGGTATGATCTCATATTACTATGGTATGAATTTTTATCATTCAATCTTGTATTTTTTATTTTTGCATGAAATTAATCATGTGAATCCTGAATAAATAAAATTTTATAGGAGAAGAATACAATAAAGAGATCGAAAAACTAAAGCAACTACGGGCAATAGTAAATTCTAACTTATTGAGTCTCCAAGATTTGGAAATTCGACTTGTCCAACTTAAAGCCTGAGGGATAGAGCATATGAGAGTGATTGAAAGTAACCACTGCCATGTTGCACGAGCAGGGAATATGAGACTACTTGAGGCCTCAGAGGTTAAAATGGCTAAGATTCAAGCTCAGGGGGTAAAGGGTATGAGAATAATGAAGATTATTGAGGATTCAATTACTAAGCTTAACACTACTCAAGAGGTTGACAAATTGGCGAATGCAACTCAAAGAATGTGGAATGAACATGAAGATATGATGCAATATATTTATCATTCGGTTGTTTTTTATAATTGTTATTTTATTTATTTATTTATTATTATTATTATTATTTTGTGGTGATCAGGGGTATTCGGGCCAACTTGTGTACACCTCAACTAATCCCCTGAGGCCTTGAAGTTGATGGCCAAATCAATCTCTCGATGGCCACCCCTATTACCAACCCAAGTGGATTGAACTTGGAACCTATTGAGTAATACACCCAAAAGTCTTGATTGACCATATTAGATTTTGAGTAGAAGAGAAAAAATTCTGCAAAAGAGCATTTCATTCATTGACGGGAATTACACCCATTTTCTCTTTTGTATCTTAAGCATATAAAACACTTTTCAGCTAACATATCTATAGTAAATTTACTTAACTAACCTCAGCTAACTACATTTACAACCATTCTATTACATTTACTGAAAACACAAGTTTACACTACACTACATTTGACTAATAGTCAACATTAGATTGAACTGAATAGAGTTGAATATATCTTGGACAAAAATGATGATGCAATTGACTCCCAAGAGCCTTGGTAAGAATATATGCCTGTTGATAAGTGGTAGGGACATATTTGGTTTGAATGAGATTAGCCTGTATCTTTTCTCGGACCAAATGACAATCAATGTCAATGTGGTTGGTATGCTCATGAAACATCGGATTAGAAGCAATGTGCAAAGCTGATTGATTGTCACAAAAAAGAGGAACAACAGAAAAAGGAGGATAACCAAGTTCAAAAAGCAGTTGCAATATCCAAACAATTTCACAAATAGCTGAGGCCATCTGTATTCAGCTTCTGAGGAAGATCGTGATACTATCACTTGCTTCTTAGATTTCCAAGATATAAGAGAATTGCCCAAGAAAACACAAAGCCCAGTAACTGACCTTCTTGTTAGTAAACAAAAGGCCCAATCTGAATCACAATAAGCATTAACCTACAATGTACTATTAGATGGGAAAAATAATCCTAAACCAAGAGCATATTTGACATACTTTACAATATTCAAAGCTGCTTGCATATGGGATTCTTTGGGTGCATGCCTAAACTGACTTAACAAGTTTACTGAGTAGCTCAAATCTGGACGAGTCATACATAAGTAAAGGAGTATACCTATGAGCTACTGATAGATGGAAGCATCTTGTAACAAGGGATCTCCAGTAATGTTGAATTGCTTATCATAATCTGAAGAGGTGAATTTCACATGCTGATCAAGAGGAATGATGGCAGGTCTAGCACTTGACATACCAGTAGTAGAAATCAACTCTAAGGCATATTTACGTTGACATATAGTTACCCCTTTGGCTGATCTTGCTACCTCAAGACCAAGAAAATATCTAAGCATCCCTAAATCTTTAAGCTTAAAATTTGAGTGAAGTAATTGTTTAGCTTCATCTATTAATGCAGAATTGCTCCCAGTGATAACTATATCATCAACATATACAAGGATAGCCACAATCTGAGTACCATGTCTCTTAACAAATAAAGAGTAATCTGATTTTGATTGAGAGAATCCTCCTTGAATTAAAGTTGAAGTAAGCTCAAAATTTCAGGCCCTAAAGGCTTGTTTGAGGCCATATAAAGATTTATGAAGTCTACAAACAAGATTCTGTCCAGGTGGTTTGGTAAAACCTTGATAAATGGAAGCTAAAGCTATAATGGCTCTTACTGTCACTATTTTAACAACTGGGGAAAATGTTTTCTCATAATCAATTCCGGCTTGTTATGTATAACCTTTTGCCATCAACCTAGCTTTATACCTCTCTAGAGTACCATCAGCTTTAAATTTCAATTTATACACCCATTTACACCCAATTGGATTTTTTCCAGGAGGCAAGGGAACCAATGACCATGTATGATTGTCCTCTACAGCTTTTATTTCTTTTGACATGGCTTCAACCCATTTAGGATCTTTGGAAGCTTGGGAAAAGCTGGTCGGTTCAGTTAAAGAAGAAATTTTTCCAAGGCAATCTTGATATTTAGGTGAAATGTGAGAATAATCAATGTTATCCAAAATTGGATATTTTACAAGGTGAGTTTGTGATGAAGAAGGAAGTGTGGGACAATGGAAATCTGTGGTCCATATAGGTGGCTTTGTAGCTCTGGTTGATCTCTATAAGGGTGCAGGGTTGGCTTGGTTCAAATTTGCAGGGTTAGTATGTTCATTTGGTAGAAATGGTGGACTAGATGATTCTGGCATATGTAATGAGCTAGAGATCACAGCTAGATCTGTTTGTGGTGCAGGAAAATTGTCTATATGTTGAGGATTATGTCCAGTATATGTGTCAAATGAATCTATTTCTAAAAATGAATCTGGTGGAAAGATAGACATGTCTGTGGTTGACCATTTAAAGGGGAAAATTTGTTCATAGAAGGTGACATCCCTAGTGATTTGAATAGCATGGTTTTGCAAATTGTATAGGACATATCCTTTTTTGTCTAGAGAATATCCTACAAAAACACATGGAATAGATCTAGGGGAAAACTTATCTTTTGGAGTAAGAATGGTAGAATATGCTAAGCAACCAAAAACTCTTAAGTGTGCTAGTGAAGGAGGTTTGCCAAAGAATTTTTCAAATGGTGAAAGACCTTTCAACATGGTGGTTGGACATCTATTTATCAAATAAACTATTGTTTGAACACAATGTCGCCAAAGGGACTGTGGTAATTGGGACTGAAATTTTAAGGCCCTAGCAACTTGCAAAATGTGTCTATACTTTGTTTCCACAACACCATTTTGTTGTGGAGAGTAAGTACATGAACTTTGATGTTGAATACCAAATTCTTTCAATAAATCATGACAATTTTTATTAAAAAATTCTAAACCATTGTCAGATCTAATGCATTTAGGAGTCAAATGATATTGTGTCCTAATCATATTCAAGAATTGTTTGAGCATTTGAAACACATCAAATTTAAATTGCATTAAGAAAAGCCATGTTACTCTTGTACAATCATCTACAATTGTAAGAAAGAACCTAGCATTACCAAAAATGGGTACCTTATAAGGTCCCCATACATCCAAATGCAAAAGATCAAACACATGATTTGAAATGTTTTGACTTATTGGGAAAGGTATCCTGGTTTTTCTTTGCCAATGGACAAATTGAAAAAAGAGAATTATCAACTTGCAAAGTTTTAACCATCTATTTTAGAACAAGATTTGGGACATGACCCAGTCTTTTATGCCAAATATGAAAATCAGAACATGTGCTAGAATTAACAAGTTTTGAACTAGGAATTGAAAAATTATTCACTACTATATTACAAACAATATTTGTAGAAAGCAGTTTGGCCAGATTATGCATGTCAGAGTTGTGTAAGGGTGACTGTGGAAGGGGCACATGAAAGTATAGGCCTTGAATTTTTTTACCAATCCCCTTCAACTTGCCACTTCAGAGGTCCTGGATTAAGCAAAAATTAGGATAAAAGGTAATGCACAATTATTGGATGAAGTATGTTTTGATACTGAAAACAAATTATATTTGAAATCTGGTAAATGTAACACATGATCTAGACTAATTTGGTCATCTATCTTAACAGATCCAGTGTGCCTAATTCTAGTTTTCATTCCATTGGGTAGGCCAACATAAGTATTTGGGTTAGAATCCATATCAACAGGTGAAGTTAAGCTAGACAGTCTACTAATCATGTGATCTGTTGCCCCTGAATCTATTATCCAATTTGCAGTATCATTAAAGCAAGATAAGAGTGATGTTGATATACCTGCTACATTGGCCGATGTTGAGACATTTTCTTT